GATGGCCAGGAGTATCTGCATGCAGCGCTGAAAGACCACGGGGCGTGGCGCGTGGGTATGTTTTGGGGCGATGCGTTGTTGGAAAGTGTGGCGGAGGAGCTCAACAAGGCGCCGATGGACACGCCATGGTATTATTTGGCCGATGCTGAACGCGCACAAAAGGTATTGGACGTGCACAACGTCATCTATGGGCAGGCTTCGGCTTACCTATATCATCTTTCCAGCTTTGGCTTCTCTCGACGACAGCTTCTTCAGTACGCGCACAGCGTGTGCTTTGCATACGAACTGGGCGAAGACCAGCGCATCAGTATATACTCATCAGTTCGGAGCATGGTTCTGGACCGGTCACAAGAGGATGAGTACGAGGAGAAGCGACAAGAGCCGATGGAATATGACGACGACGACTGGCAACATACTTTTGAACGTGATGGTCGGCAGTCTGACCGTAGCAGTAGTAGTCGGGTCCCCGCTAAACGAACTGCCGATGTGCAGTTCCCCCCGACATCATTCACTCTGCCGGACTGGCCGTCGTTCTCAAGTGATGGTGGAAGTAGTGATGCTGATTTCGACGGCAATGTGTCAAAGTTTGGTCGCAAACGTAGAGAATCGAGCGCGTCGACTGCCACGACGATAATGGAGGGATCAATGACGGCATCGTACGCTGGCAGTGTGCGTGATTTTGAGGAAATGAAAACGATCGCGTCTACAGTCGTTGGCGAGAACGGTGACGAATCATGGGAGAATTTGTTCGGGACATCCGGTACTTCGACAGAAGACGAATCGGGCCATCGTTTGGGCATTGGCGAAGACACGTCGGAGTCCAGCGAGAGGCAAAAGGATAAGGTAACGAAGCGTCGCAAGAACTTGAACTCGCGCAAGTTTAACGACCAATTACGGCTGGCGCGCACCATACCTCTAAGTCTTCGCATCCATGAGGAGGAGGAAGAGGGCGTGGCGGCATCCACTGCAGCAACGGCAGTACATGTACCCGCAAGGATGGAGTCTAGACAGCCACCACTACCGCCTGGCCGTCCGCCGACCTCTGCGGGTCCTTTGCTACGACACCGTTCAAGCGACAACGTCTTCATGACTGCTCGAATAGAGGCTGGCGATCTGCCACCTACACATGGGACGCACTCGCACGTTTCGAGGCACGAATCCGGCCTAGCTACGGACGAGAGCGGAGGTGCAAAGTCGGAACGAAGGCGACATCGGAAATTGCACAAGGCGCGGTCTGTTGCGAGCATTGACACGTCCGTGTTGAGAGCTGAGACCGAGCAGGCGATCAATGCAAGTCGCAATACCGTCGATCCTACACACCAGATCAAGATGATGGCGGCGCGGATGAAATCGAGGCGGAAAGAGAACTCGGACGGCAAGATTGATTTCGTGGCGTTTCCCCGCACCGGAAGTGACGCTACTGGGGCAACGTCGTTGTCTCCGGCAGCAGTATCGTACGACTTTCCATCCGCGCCAAAGAAGGTACCAAAACCGCTCTCAGGTGTCGCAGCTCTGCGCGCCCGCTTTGAGCACAAATGAATGCCGCAGCAAGTAGAATGATGCGTGTTTGCCATTACCAATACCGACAGCCACTGCAAGCAGACATGGCTCTTTGTGACAGCTGCTTCGTCCATTGCGTCTCCTCTCTCCGTCCAATCCCTCTCCTCCCCCCCTTCTGCCTGTCACCCTCCCTCGATCTCTAGTATTGTCCACCAGTCTTGGGCGCCTTGCCTTGGTACTCTTCCGGCAGCGCAAAGTTGGCCTTGGTGGCACCCGTGTGCACAAAGATGCGACCGCACACGGGCATAATGTCCCACTCGAGTCGGAGGGTCACGTTGGCCCCTCGCAGCTCGTCGTGCTGGTCGGCCAGAAAGTACTTGACCCCCTCCTCTTGGAACTGCAGGAGGCCCGCGTCCTCCTTCGTCTGCACGATCTTGTCCCAGATCACGACCTCGTTGCGGGCGTTGCTGGCGCTCGCGAACTCGGCCACCACGTACACGAACAGCTGCTTGACGTTCCAGTTGAACACCGAGCTCAGGTCTGTTGGTTGTGGCCACCAAACATGCAATGCACACCACACAATACTCGTCAGTACATACCGCCAATGGTACACAAGAGTTACTTCACCCGGACACGGCCCGCACCAGCGTCGAGGGCGAACGAAAGCGTCGCGCGGTCGGCTTTGTCGCGGTAATTGCGCAGCGAGTGGAGCTTGACGAGGTCGAGGCGGCGCACGACCGGCGCGGACTCGTGCAGGTACGTGCTGAAGGCCGTGAGCGCGCACATGATCGCGAGCGCCGTGAGCGACCCGAAGAACACGGAGTTCGCGCGCGTCCAGACCGAGTACATGGCGCCGCGTGCTCAATTGTCTGTCCCGAGCTGTGTGCTGGGGGTGTGGCCTTACGTTTCGCAGTGCGATTGGCTGAAATGCAAACCCATATCCAGTTGCAGCAAAAATGCGTGCGTCGATAAATCGTGGCTCGGTGACTGCTAATTCGTGGGCCAAAGTTGAGTCAAACCGCTCGTTGCAGGGCTTCATTCGTGTCGAAGAGCGCCCTGGCATCCAAATCTCGACGATGATTGGTGCTAAAACGTCATTGTCATTGGCGTCCAAAACACGATTGCGACTCTTTCGTCAAAAATCGTATCGGGCAGTCGAAAATGAGATCCCAATCAAGTTTGTTGATCGATCGTAAGTCAGCTGACATATCCAAGTCGGGTCTTAGATCCTTGTGAGTGTCACCTGTCACGAAGCGAGCTGCATTCTTCTTCTTGTTGTTGCAATTTGAGTACATGATAAGATTCGACTGCGACCAGCCATACCCTGACTAGAGAGGAGTAGCTACTGAGGAATACCACATCTAGCACCTTGCAGTGGAGTACAACACACAGAGCTAACCGTATGACTAAGAGCTGCCGCTTGCTATTGCCCGGTCACGAAAGGACTGCGCGCTGCGAGTAGCCTGCCTGATGTTGGCGTTGATCGGCGTCTCGAGCCAACGAGTGACGTCGTAGCTGATGCAATTCTTGGATTCTTCGGTCGATGCACCGGGTTTTGGTGTGTGACCTGAATTGAGTTTTCGGTATTATCGATCGCTACGTTTGCAGCGAAGGCCATCGCTGGCTGACAAGTATGGCGCTGTCTCCGATCACGAGCAGAGGTGCACAACCACTGGATTTCGTCTGCTGCAGGGCGTGGCCACAGTATCCAGCCATGTTGTTCGCCATCGTTGATGGCCCAAGTATTATGCTAGCTGTCCGCACGACAAGAGCAGCGTGTGTCCGGGCCTGTACTATGACTATAACGGAGCCGGCAATACCAGGCCCCGGATTGCCACAAGACCCTCCGGTGAAGAAGAGGAGGAATTCGCGCGCTGGCGAGTGCTGCAAAGTTAGTAAATGTAACGACAGCACGTCGGAGTGTTGAAAGATCGAATCCGTCAGCGCTGAGCGTACTCGAGTCAGTACGAATTCCTGGGGATGCCCAGCGGCTTGCAATTGACACCACACTGATGGTGCGAGCTGCATACGCTACAGCTATCTCGGCCGACAATTTGAGTTGATGAGAATCGTCACTTTCCGATGCCAACAGCTCGCGACAGGACAGGAATAGCGGACACGAATGACAAAGTCGTAGCAAAGCTCAAACGCCGAACATCGAGTAGATTAGAATATGATATCTAGACTAGGGAGGCCGCTTCCTGCGTGTTTTCTGGTACGTGCAGATAGACAGTTGATACCTCTGCCAGCGCGCATCAGCATCATGTTGTTGTGGCAACCTTTCCTAAGCGAGCTTGCAACTAGCATGGTTCTTGGCGTGTCAAAAGCTTTCGTACATTTATTACCGTCGATAGTCGTTGTTATCGACGATAGTTCGTGAGCATGACAGTGTAGCATCGTCGTTGCATCTTTTGTTGTCATGGTAAGCAACATGTGCGCTCGAGCTCAGGTATCTGTAGAGATCAAGCTCAAACTATCCTGCGAGAGCTCATGCTTTGTAATTTGGTACCAGCATCGAACGTCGGATGCTCACTCGATCACTTTGTCTGGGTCTGACATCTGCAGATAACAAGAGGATCCCAGCGCTAACTGCCAAAGTTGTGGCTGCAGGAGTCGCATTCGAATCCCTTGTTGCTCGACAGCTCGATGCAGCTTAGCGCATCAAGCGACTGACTTTGTTGCTGGGTCTGGCACAACCGACACTAAGCAAGTTTCTAGTGGCATCATAGTTGCAGATCGTAGTATGCGGAAGACGGAGTCTGCGCAGGTGAGGGATGTCAAGTCAACTTGACGAATTCGAGGATGCGATTGCTCTAGTACGGCCCTTGACAGACAAGCATTATCTCCGCTATAGGTTCTCGGATGTTTATGCTCTGCATACCAACGCTAACAACGCAGCATGCACACACTTGGAACCATTTCTTCCAAAGTGCGCCGCAGGAACCTAAGACTGAAGCGACAGTCTAACAAGCGTAGACGCACATGTACGTCCAATTGGGTCGTACACATCGAAAGACGTCTAACAAGCAGGTCTGCTAGTACTGAGTCCACCAAGAAGAGTGCTACTGAATGCTCAGTAGCAAAGCTTGCACTTCCTTACCTTCATACAAGGAGGACACAAGGTAGACGCGTGACATTTTGCTGGCGAACCCGTTGTGGAAGTATGATGGGATTTGGGATAGAAGCGATTGTGCGCCAAAAGACAGATGGGCGCAAATTTCGACAAGCAACGACGGCATAATCGTCTGTATCCCCATATGTATCGGTGGATCAAGCGGGAAGTGTTGCAAAGCCCTCAGCAAAGTCACAAGCGCAATAAGTTCAAAGCCGCAGTGCCTTTACAACGACACGTCTGAACATTCGTAGTGGCGCTATTGACGACAGAGTCGCATGTGTGCATTGTCCCTTTATTACCGATCGAAAGATGCCATGCGTTCAAATACGAAACACAACTTGCACATCTTCTTAGCCTTCGCCCGCCTACCTGCGTGACTTGGCTTCTAGAGCTTGCTGGCAACAGATCCAGTAGCCACTTTCTCAAATCGCTCGCGCTGCATGCTCTTCAGCCGGTATCCATTGCAAAAATCGAGCGCAAAGCCGACCTTGCGACCCGCTTGTTGCAGCTTTGTGATCAACAACCACGAATCGCCTGCACATCGTAGCCAAAGCGCCTGCCGTTGCTTCTCGAAGAAAAATGTCCCAGTGGCTGCTGGCCCGTTGCAGCTCTCGTCGGCAAGGACTGAGTAACGAAAGCACGACGCGGCACGCTGTCAGCGTTCGTACCTCACGTCGAGTCTACATCGCATAAAAACTCACCAACTTGCAGCTCTTCCGTCGTCGGTAGCCGGACATCAATCAGCTTTACCACTTTATCGCGGAATTGGACGGTTATGCCCACAGAATTGCCTAGTGCCTGCCATCGCTTGTGAACCAGTACGTAGGCATGTATGACATGATTAGCGAGTATGACGCAATGAAGTAAGCACGTGACAATCGTCGTACGTGAAAAATGACGGTCGCAGATTCGTCGAACGAAATGTGACCATCGTTGGACACGAGCTTGGGGGCCGTGGAGGCGCATGTGTCGTCCTGCACAACAGCCTCCTTCTTACGTGCAGGCAAATCAGCGAGCGTTTTCAAGATGCTATCCGCACCGAGCACTGCAAGTTCCCGCGTCAACCTATCGAGCACGAAAAAACGAAATAGCTTAGCCAGCAATTTCAGCACACAAAGTAGCAGTAGCAGTAGCTTTGTCGTACTCCTGGCACTGAATGCCGGGCTTGATATCGTGAGGTGTCTGCAGCAGAATGCGGCCAACGTCAAAGGCCGTCGGATCAATCTCGATTACGGACACCCCTGTTGTCGTGTCGCCATTCAGAAGCGCATGTTGGATGGGAGCAGGACCGCGGTACTACCCATACAGCCAAACGATTCCAACACGAAAAAAAGCTCGTGAGCTCAGCGACTCCCATCCACTGCGTCCAGTTTCACGCAGCGTTCACCCTTCCATACCTTTGGCAATAGCGATGGATGCATGTTGATGGCACCATAATGAAGATTTCGGAGCATGTTCGGGTGCTACGAGAAACGAGTCAACACCACGAACAGACACGAACGCGTCAGCAGTGTCAGCAGCTAAGCTCAAGCTTGCGACCGTCGATCGCAACGCAATCCACGAACGTACTAGAAAGTAGCCAAACGACACGACGACTCCAACATCAAAGCAGTCCATCACAGGAAAGTCCCACATCTTGAGCGACTTTAGATGCGGTGGCGTGTCAAAGACGTTGAGTCCGCAGCGTTGGGCGAACCTCTTGACCGGCACCGGCTCGTCCGTCTTGCAGCCATTCACGGACCGATTGGACGGACACACGACCTCAATGTGCTCCACGAGACGGCCGCCGTCGCGCTCGTTCGTGCTGCACACACAGCCACAGACGGCGCACGTAAATGAGCTCGTCGCACAACAGCCACTCGTGCAAAAAAGGGCGGACATAGACACGACCTGTTGGTATGCAGCGACTGGAGCGTCGCGAGCGACACGTCGTCTGTGCCAAAGAACAGCACGCGGTACGGGGGACTCCCACGCACGGCGGAGGAGAAGCGGCGACACCGCGACAACGGCCACGCGCGACGAACGACTGGACGACAGCCACGCACCATATGGGTTTGCGTAAAAGCTTGTCACGTAGTGACGCCCTCTCGCTTTCGTCCTCCCTCCTCTCTCGCTCTCTCTTGCTTTCGCTATGCCGCTGGCTCTCTGCCTCTTCTAATCAGTTACGCAGCGTTTTACCACTCGGGATCAATCTGCAGCTTCTTTACTTGTCTCATTTCGTGCTCTCTCTTTCTTTCTATCTCTCTCGTTACTCACGTACGTCCTGTGTACCACATCCGACACGTTCGACACGTTCGTTGTTATGATGGAGACGTTGTTCACATTGTAAAATGGACTCGCCCCGCACGAGCCCCTCGAGCCAAAAGGCACCACAGCCCACTGGCACTTCGAGGACGAAACTGCCTGCGCTCTCGACAACGTCGTTGACTCCTCCAGAGCCCGTGCAGACGTCGAATGCGTCGTACGCTGCCCCTCAGCCGACGCCGGATGCACTCGCGATGAAAATGGCGTCAGCAATGCCGCCTTTTGCAGTGGCCTCCCAGTTACCGCCAGGACATATGCATCTGATCCAGTCGCGTCTTCCGGGAGGCAGCAATATGCCGAGTGGTCCCTACGGCATATACCCGAGTGGAACGCATACCGGTGTCAATGGCGACCCGAACCACCCGTTCGTGACGGTCATGGCCATGGCTCCACCTGGAGCCTCGGGCGACGCCGAGGTCGACAACATGCGCTTTGCATACCTGAAGCAGTGCCGGTGGATGGCAAGCTGCTTGATGGCGTACTACGTGACCACGTTTGTGTTCCTGCAGCCATTTCTGCTTGGCACATTGGGTCTCTTCACGGCGTTTATCGGCTACAACGGCTCGCGGGCGCCTGTTGACATGCATCGGTACAAGTGGCTGTGCTGGTACGTCCGGGCCAACTACGGCATGTTGGTGCTCAATATGTGGATGCTCGTGGTGACCCTCATCGTGTCGGGGGCCATCTTCGTCCCTGACGCCAACGTCGACGGCATTCATGGCAGTCTCAGTAGCGACGACGGCCATGTGCCAGAGTCGACGTTCCTCTCTGCAAAAAGCGCGAGCCTCGTCATGGGACTGCTCGTGACGCTCAACACGGTGTTCCACCTGCGCTGTTTGCGCGTCGCGAAGCTTCTGGTTGCAGAGCTCCTGAGCGCAGGGGTCGACCGTGAGCCAGCGCCTAGTCTAGTAGTTGCCCCGGCGCAGTCCGTCTCGGTCGTGTAAAAAATAGACGAGACGCGCACATGCCGTTTTTCGAACCACTTGAAGAAGAACAGACACATGCAGACGACGGGAAAGGGCGAAACAAAAAGAGTGAAATAAAACGGACTCGTGAACGGCCGAGCTTGCATTGTGATGGGTTCAGCTGTGGGAGTATACACGGGTATACACATCAAAAACACATTGTATTATGCACCAATCAATGACGTTGAAAGCTGCGATGTTTTGATAGACGAAGTGCGATTGGTAGAAAACAACTCGCAAGCCACTGGTTCCCACGCTTCAGCAGCAAGTCTCCGACCAACAGTAGGGACCATCATGACAAGCGTCGATGCAGCAGGTGCGCGTGTGTGTGCGCAACTTGTGGGCACTGAACGTGCGCGTTGATCGGTAGTAATGAGAGATGACGCTCAATATTTGTGTCTGTGTGTTGTGCTGATATACGGAGTAGAAAAGCACCCGATGGAGAGATTGAGGGACGACGTGCGTCACATTTACGGCAAAGTGACCGATATAAACGCTGCAGTCGCGGTAAGTGTCGTTATGTGTCATCACGTAGTACTGTTATTACCAGGAGCAACGTGCAATACATTCTCTGATATTGGTAGTAGTAGTAGTAGTACTACTACTAAAAATACTACTACTAAAAAAAATACTACTACTACTGCTACTGAAGCTGCGATGGTCTTTGGTGATATATTGATGCTATGCTGACAGTATTGGTTTTGTTTGTGGGCAGAATGAGCTACCGACTGACAGTGGCATGACATTCTTGCAAGTGAAGAACCACGCGCTACTGACGTACACCAAGTTGGAGCTCTTTTTCGCGCTGCTCAAAGTACATTTACACAAACTACTTTACGTGCGTGGTTGGCATACTGTTGCTAACTTGACTGTGACTTTGCCGTAGCTAGAGGAGCCTGGGAAAGTGAGGGACCACCCTGTGTTCAAGGAGCTCGTGCGCTATCGCACGCTGTTAGAGCGCGTTCGTCCTTTGGACCGCAAGATGAAGTACCAAGTGGACAAGATGCTCAAGGTGGCGTTGTCTGGTTGCAACGACCTGGACGAATCGCTGAGCTATGCACCGAATCCGGAACAGCTTGCTGCTGACGGAGCGCAGGACGACGACGAGGATGGTGACGATGGAGGTGCTAGTACCAACGATGGTATCTACCGTGCACCGCGTCTAGCAGCAGTTCCATACGAAGAGGAGGAACGTGCGCACGTGAAGCAGGCTAAGAAAGATGAGCGTAATCGCAAACGCCTGCAGAAGAGTACCATTCTTGCCGAACTGCGAGAGGAGTTTAGCGAGCGTCCTGTGGAGATCCAGGCCAGTGGTGCAAACGCCGTTGACAAAGAGACTGCACGCGAGGAGAGTGAGAAGAAGGATTTTGAGGAATCGCGCTTTGTGCGTGTGGTCACGTCACGTAAGGACAAGATCCGTAAGCGGCAGCGAGAAACAGCTGCGAACCGTGCCGACAAGGTTGGATTGATCGACAACTTTGCCTCGGTCCAAGATATCTTGTCTTTGGACAAGACGAAACATCGAATCCCGATACCACGTGAGCCGAAAAAGGTTGGCGGCAAGACTGGAGGCATTTTCTCGCACGTTGATGCGCCGGTACGTTTATGCTGCAGTCGTCGCGATGTTATGAGAGGTTACTGTTGTATGAGTAGTAACTTGATAAACGTTGCTGCTTATCATATGTAGACCGAGAAGAAGCGGAAGATGGCGCGAAATGCAGATCAGAGCGTAGCTCCACGTGAAGCTATTTCCACAGCGCCTCAAGAATTATCAGACCGCAAGGCACATCAGCAGAAGAAGAAAGTCGTGTTCTCGAAGCTGTTCTAGTGAGCTGGAGTTTGTGCGTGCGATGGAGTCTCTGGTCCATCAGCTCGGCCTGCTGCAATCATTGCATCCATGAAAGACGCTTGTCGAACTGTCTACATGAGTGACCCCGGTGTTGTTTAGCGATGGAGAACACATGAGTGATCACAAATATTGAACCAGGGTGGCCACTCTGCTAAGCGCCACACTCTGTTCGAGAACTGCGGTTGCTTGTCTTATTTTAATACGCCAAAAGCAATAAACGCTCTCAGTTACGTCTCGAAAGCCTTTTGGACACTCATGTACGCATGCAGATGCTCAGACCAAGTCAACTTTCGTAACAGCAGATGCAAGATGAGACATCAGTACAATTATGTTGGGCAACAAACTGAGCACTCCGGCCTTCGACACAAGCTGTAAGTATCCAAGCTACATTAACCCCCGCAAGCGCATTCCCGGTGATCGAACTTAGACCGCTGACATACATCCACATCAACTAGCACGTGTCTGGTTTTAGTAGAGCTACCACAAGCGCGCTGGACATGCACGTTGGATCGTGCACGGTGTGGCAGATATGTAGCAAGAGCCGCTTTAGTCTAAGCTGGGTAACGCAGGTAGCTGACATCGACTACGACCACAACAACATTATCTGCAATTCTTGGTCTTTCTCATACTCTCCGGCTCACTGTGCTCGACCGATGATTCCATTTCGTAGTAAAACATAACTGCCAGGGCATCAAGACGAGGAACAGCAAGTGTATTCGACGAGGGCAAAGTGCTTTTTCGACACAATTCCCACTTATTGCGCGCTGTATACACCACCCATGATAGTGTGTTGCCTTCCGAGAATCTGTGCATTAATGAGTGTCATACAGCACTTATAGCTGCATGTACAGTGGATAGAGACCACAACGGCCCAGCGAAAGCAACTTGTCGGATTGTTGTACGATACGTCACATACAGTTAGGTCGACAGATTGCATGTGATAGATTGACAGACCGTCGCAAACGATAGGACACTTCCACTTTGACGAGGAAGAACGCTTGGAACAAGGAATGAAACCGACCCCAAGGTCACGGAACTACACATTGCGAACAAGGCACTGTATGTATAGGCTCCCAAGAAGGGTTCGACAAGTGTAACTGTAAAGGGGCAGCCCGTTACATGGAATTGTCACTTTATGAAAAGTGACAATAAAGAATATTATGTTGAATATTCTTTTAACAATATCACCGAAGCGGTGATATTGAAGGGTCGACCAAAGTGTCTGTTCATTGGTTGATCTCGTGATGATATTAAGCCACCAATCGCCGCAAGACGCGCGCAATGAGTGGTGACGAGACGTCACCATACACTCAGTTATATTAACATAATTTAGTTAAGTCAAACAAAGAGACAGTAGTTAAAAGACTTAATTATATTAATATAACAGTTTTACTTTTACCTTACCTACGCTTCCTCGCTTGCCTTGTGTACGTCTGTCGGGGCACCGATACCCTTGCGTTAAGTTCACGCAAGGGTGTGCCCCGTTACACCTGGTAGCACTTTGTAGTCCTTCCAAGGACCACAACATCCAACATGAACATGTTGGATGATGAAGAGACCTTTCACGCCACGCGTGAAGGGTTTACCCATTTGAGTGACATCGAATGGGGTGCGGTAGAACGAATGAGTTCTACCGTAGGCGAGTTCGCCATTAGCGCCATGTTGGAGTCTCTAGACATAGACCAACAACATGCCTCTATTGCCAAGTTCATCCAAAATGGACTTGTCGCCGAAAGGGAGAAAGTAGCCTTGCTTCACTAGCAAGGCTCTCAACAGGCCGAGCAGTTGAGAGAACTCGGTGCTCAACAGACAGAGCTGTTGAGACAGCAGCAATTCCATGCTGCTGTGGGCGGGACAACACACACGCGTCGTCCCGAGGTCATGAAGGTCAATATCTCCAACTACAGAGGAGTCGAGAAAGACTCCCTGTTGTTATGGTTCGCCGGAATCGACAGAGACACAAAGGCAAGTCGTATCGACGATTAGAAAATGGAACTCACATTTGCTCAAAACCACTTGGCGGGACGTGTTAAGACTTGGGTCTTAGGACTGGAGATTAGCGATCCATCTGCTTTTTTAGTCGCTCGAATCCTTCAAGACCCGGCTCAAACACACGTTTGAACCGCCACGGGTTGAGTTCAGGGCTATATCAGAGCTCCTGAAACTCAAGCAGGGTAAGCTTGATGTGCACGCTTATGCTTAGCATATACGACTCCTCGCGAGTAGTATAATTGCCAACCCAGTACATGAACACACGTTGATTACTGTGTTCATGCAAGGGCTCGCAGACGGGCCTGTCAGGAATCGCCTGTACCACTTAGAGCTGGATACGCTTGGACAAGCACTTTCGGCTGCAAAACAGGAGGACTTTAGCATGAGACAGGCTCATGCTTGCTCAAACTCTTATCACCCACCGAGACGACAAGAGAATAGAGGTCCAGAAATGATAGAACTCTATTATGCTGGGAGCAAGAGACCTCGCTCTTCAAACAAAAAGCGATTGCACTTCTGCAATCGCTGTCAGGAGTTAGGGCACTACGCATACGAGTGTAGTGCTCCACGCCCAGTACCAAACAGTACGGAGCGAAATGGACGACCATTCGCCAGAAAGGGCAATGGGCGTGGGTCCAGCGCTGTTGCGAAGCGGAAACAGCGAGACGGACCATCAAAAAATGGTCGGGGTCAGTAGGGGCGGAGCGCCCTACTGATCCAGCAACCTCAAGAGAATTTGCAAATCTCTTGACGAAAGTTGCTCCAGATACACAATCATTGTGTGTCTCTGCACCTAGTGATGACGTTTCGCTCATCACCTAGAAGTTGGAAGCGACAAATGATTTGTCGCTTCGTGCCCTAGTAGACTGTGGGGCGTCGAACAACTTTGTTCGTCGCCAGTCACTAGAGGGTCGTAGGCTGAAGTTCGTTGAGCGCGACATTCCCCTCACAAGGATGACGGTGCGCCTTGCAACAGGCGCATCGATAACCGTTGAGAAACGTGTAGTAGGAATCCACTACACGTTAGAGGGCGAACAGTACGATGATGACTTCATCGTACTAGATCTGGATGACAAATTTGATGTCATCCTGGGATTACCTTGGCTCAGAAAGTACGAGCCAAGGGTGAGCTGGCAGCATCGGTCCGTGAAGATGCCTGCCACTTGTTCATCAGATGGCCATCTGATGAACATCTTGGAGCGTCCACAAGCGTGTGGATGTTCTGCGAGTGAGTGAAATGGCCTCACTTGCGGTAAGGTCGTTAGCACGACTGCACAAGATCACAGTGTAGTTGATCACAACACTGTGGAGCAAGCTCCCGGCGTCTGTACTGATGTACAGGCTGCGCCGAAGGTCCACTACTCGAAGAAGTCGAGTGGACCGGGACATGGATGCATGCCTAGCGGGCAGCATCTTAGAAGAAAGAAAACCGGTTGCCCACAAGCGGAAACACGGATATCCTAGGTCGACTGGAGGGTCGACCGTAGAGGATCGGTCCTTGTAAGTGGTTGCACAGCCACAGTCAGAAGACGCCGAGGGAATAAGTCCCCACGTACTTGAGGAAGGAATTCCTCAAGAGTCACTTGCTGAAGGATTAGGCCCTCAGCAACCTGTGGAACGAAGTTCCCAGGAAGAAACCGAGACGTTGAACGTCTTGGTTAATGACGGATCAAGCGTAGGCGCTTATACGCTTGATCTGATTGTGCCTCCGAAGTTAACTTCGGGGATAACTCAGTTGCCAACGCTAGAACCGAAACGGTTCTTGCGTGATCTGCGTAGTGGCAAAGTCAAGCAGATCCGCATACTCGTCACAGAGGATGAGTATGTGGCCGATATTCGGTCGGCAACAGTATTTGCTGAGAACGAACGGGTTCTCATCAGCTCATCGATGGACGCAAGTGTCCTCGATGAGAAGACTCGGATTGAGCGATACACGTCCCAATCCTGGGAGTCACTTCAGGCAAATCCTTTGTATCAGGATTTGATCGAATTCAAGGATGTGTTTCCTGAATCCGTGCCACGCGAGTTGCCTAAGGCCAAAGGCACTCGACACGAGATCGAGCTCAGACCAGGCTCGAAGTATTGTGTCATGAAGCAGTGGCCACTGCCTCGTGAACAAGTACTTGCGATCGACAAGTTCTTTGCCGATCGCTTAGCAGCGGGCCATATGACGGAGTTGTGGTGAAGTCACTCATCAAATTTTGTACGAGGAGCGGTGGCTACACATTTGGGACGCCACTTACTGGTGGAAAAAGAGGCCATGGGACTTGGCGATCCAATAAGGAAACAGGATCGACGATCCGATCCAACTGTCGTCAGAATGATGGGTATGAAACGATCTGAGACGGGGTGATCCGGGACAAGACGACAGTTAGGACGATTTCCATGGAGTGATCTGGGACAATGATCTGAGATCGGGCGATGTGATGTGACTATGTGACGAAGGTGTAACATCCTGCAGACCGGTGACACTCTCTACGGGTCTCCCAAAGGGAGTACTGATTTAGGTTAATTATGGACCGATCTGGAAGTGGGGTTGTTTGTGGGGGTCCGTGGGACCGTTGTGAGAATTGTGGATGGTCCCATTGTGCGGATAAACCGTTGAGTATAGTATCGGAGTATGCACAATGAACGGAAAAGGCATATAGGGCCGGATCGCACTGTGTCGATCCTCAACGATCTCGAATTGGACATCAGATCGGTCATGTTCCCTGCTGGTTATGGATACATCGATGATGGAGCTATTGTATGATGATTTACATGCTTGTTGGAGACCCATGAGTGATGTCCCAAAAGCTCAGACCGAAAGAGCCAGTGGAAGCCGGTTGAATTGACGTCGCAAAATGGATTTAGACACGTTCCACATCTTGGATACTATTTTGGACTTTTCGGTACCAAAATTGGGTATTTGGTACCATATTTGGAATTTAGTCCTTTTTTGGTGTCTAGGTGCGATATCGGGAGTATTGGCGCTATCTTTGGAGTAC